ACTCATTTGCTGTATAAGTTTGAAAACCCCTGCCCACAGGTCTCCCCTTGTGTACGAGCAATCAGCTCTACCATTCAGCCCAGGTGTGTGTTTGCTGGACCATCTGGAGGAAGCTGAGGAGACATGAGCTGAAGGCAGAGGGTGAGTCCGAAGTGGGATCTTGGGACAGGTATGAGAAGTTAGGCAAAAATAGGATAATTCCAGCCTTAATAACCTTAGATAATAGTTCACATTATTATTTAGTTAATAGGATTGTACCCACGTTAAATTGCTAATTTTTTTAAGAGGGGAAGTCTGACTCGGTCACCCAGGCTGGAGTGCAGTGGTGCAGTCATGGCTCACTGCTTTCTGGAACTCATGGGCTCCAGCAATCCTGCCTCAGCCTCCTAAGTGGGACCATAGGCACCCGCCACCATGCCAGGCTATTTCTTTGACTTTTCTCTAGAGACAGGGTCCACCTGTGTTTCCCAGGCTGGTCCCAGACTTCTAGACTCAAGTGAACCTGAACGTCCTGCCTCGACCTCTCAATTGCTGGGATTACAGGTGTGAGCCACCACACCCAGTCTAAATTTGTTATGTGCCATGGAACTGCAAAACGTCATTATTAGGGGCAGTTGGATGGAAGGTGTAGGAGGCCACTGTAGTGCCTTTTCAATCTTTTATATCTAAACTAATTTCAACAGAAAACATTTATTTTAAAACATGAAGGGGGTTAATCATCTATGAGTTGAAAACACAAAGGCAGGCACACGGTGTTGTGGGAATTCAGAAAGCTGGTCACACGGCTGGGGGTGCTGGGAGGGGCTGGGCATGGTTGGCTTTGTGATCTGGGGGCTGGTGTGTTCCATCTGTGAAGGTCTTTCGAGCTGCACACTTTCTTAATCAATTTTCATAAGTTTAACCAAAAATAAAACGAGGACGTGAAGTTTGCTTGGGTTGTTAAGTCTTGGGAAGTTATCCAGCCATGAGCCCTGCCCCAGATGCTTCTAGAACCCTGGAGGGAAATGAGAATTTTCCAAGTAGAGGTGACAGAGGCAAGGCCCTGAGGTGGGAGCGCGCTGCTGCTCGTCCCTAGCTGTAAAGGAGCCGTCCTGGTTGGAATCAGTGCTGGGTGCAGTGCAGGGCTGGCTGGAAGTCCATGTCCACATTGTGGCTCAGTGCGGTGAAAGCCAATCTCACCCCCTCCGCAGGGTGTTCCGCCTGCCAGCAGGTGGCCAGCTGCTCTTCCTGGGATACGGTGCCATTGTAGAAATTGGGTGCAAGTCTCTTGTCCGTAGACGGGGTGCCCTGTTGTAGTGGGATATCTCCTGGCCTCCCTCAGTCCTGATGGGCCTGGGCAGGGCCTGGTGTCAGGGTCCCCGCGGGCTTCTCGAGCTGGCCCTGTCCCACAGTCCCGGGGCTGTCCAGGACACATTCAGAAGGGACACGGACCCAGCAGCTCTGTTCGAAATCATAATGGGGGAACCAAGGGCCCCCTACATCCAGGTCCGTCGGGAGCCGGGGCATCGAGTTCCACTCCAGGAATCTCCAGGAACCCTGAGGTCTTCCCTGAGCCGGGACCGGGCTGGGCACATCCTGAGTGCCCACAGGGTAGGTGTCTTCCCGGACAGCCACACCAGGACAAGATGTGGAAGAACGAGGTGCCCATGGTGGGGAAACTAACCAAATGGGCCGCTGGAACCGGGCTGGTGGGCCTGGAGGGGTCTGCCTGTCCCCCTTGCAGAGGGTCATTCTGCCACTTGAAGTCAGCACAGGCCTCGGTGCCGAGGACCCTTGCTCGGGTTTGGCTGAAAGAAAAACAGACGTGGTCAGCGTCTCCACTGAGCCCATGTAGGCCTTTCCCGGCCAGGCCCCACCTGCCTGGGTCTCTGGAGTCCTCAGGATCTCTGTGTGGCCCCGTGGTCTGACACTGAGGACATGCCTGTAGTCTGCTGATCCCAGAGGGAGGGGTGTGTGCTGCCTGGCATGGGGAAGCTATCAGGGCATGACAGGTAGCTCCTAGGACTGCCCCCAGGGTTCGGACTGGCTGGGGGATTCCTACCACACACCCTCGTCCCAGGGCTGTTGGGCCAGGGATACAGCCCCCAGTGAGAACTCAGGTGGGAGGGGACTTGGATGTCACCCAGCCCCTTGTCACCTCACATGGGGACCCATCTCCACAGTGGGTGATTGGACCTGGAGGTGGGTCACCCTCTGCCTTCCTGGGATGCCCAGTCCATGCCAGGACTGACCGTTCCCACATCTGGCTGAATTCTTGGCTCTGGCTCTCGCCTGGGGTGCAGCCTGTGCCCTCTCCCTGAATGCTCTGGGGTCAGGGACACCCGATTCCCTTGTCTCCCTGGCTCAAGGCTTGTTGTCCTGGAAACCTTGGAGGAGCGTGCAGGAGTGAGGGGCCTCTGCTGCTCTCTGAGGCTGTGGGTGCTTGCAGGGAGGGGCGGGGTTTCCCACAAATGGGTCTGGCTTCTTTAGTGCCCTTGATGGCCTTGTGATGGGGAGACAGAGACACTGTGGAATGTGGGAGGCGGCTTGTTGGAAGGTCTTGCCCACATCGCCCTCCTGCGGGCACAACACATCCAGTACACACGCACTGAGCGCCTGCCGTGAGGACCGGTGGCCTCCTGTACTTTCTTAGAGTCCAGGAGGAAGAGGAGGAAGAAAAGGTGAAGAGGAAGGCCCAGGTAGTAGGGTTGCGGGTCTCGGGCACTCCCCTATTATTGACTGCCCCAGAGGGTGACATGGGGGGGGACATGGCACTGGAGCTCACCTGGGGGTGGCAGGTCCCCTTGCTTCCTTGTTAGTTTCTTCGTAGAGGCCCTAAGATGCTTGAGCACAGAGTCATCATCCAACTCCCAGGTATGGAAGAACAGGTTCCGAAACCGTGCCCACAGGCCAGACCTGGATGTCTTCATGAGGCGCTCTAGGGACAGGGTGGACATCAGGTCAGGAGAGTTCCCTGGGAGGGGGCACAGCTGATACCCCGTGGCCACTTCAGTCTCCCACTAGGCGATGCGGGAATCTTTTGTGGCCACCCCAGGGGTTCGGATGTGCACAGGAGACTGTGGCTGGGGGAAGTGGGTAGGGAAGTGCTCACAACACCCCTGACTTTCATCTGGGTCATGTGGGGGACGGGCTCGGTGTCACTGTGCCTTGCCCAGCCCACCTGGCCAGACCTCCCTCTGGGCCAGAACAGAGGATCATGAGGACAGTGTGAGGAAGCTGCCCTCGGGTAAGTCAGCGTCTGACCCCAGGGCTCCCCAGGCCCCACTGGGCACATGTAGACTTACTCCTCTGAACTTTAAAGGCAATGCTTGTCATCGGCATCAACACCTGTTCTCCTTCCAGCAAATACACGTCCCACAGGCGCAGGGTGAGCCCAAGAGAGATCTGTGGGGATAGCAGGTGTGGGAGACTGTAGCCCTTCCAGGCTGGGGCTGGTGGCTCGAACTGAGCCCACTGGGGCTTCAGTCCCCAGAGTCAGTGACCTTCCCCATGAGGGTTTCCTGAGCCCTCCAGGGCGCTGGGTCAGACAAGGTCTTGCAGCTCCTCATGGGGGGCACTCATTGGAGTGGGGGTGTGGCTCCTGGAGAGAGGGGCTTGCCCAGGGCTTGAGGCTTCCCTGATCCCTCCCAAATCAGGTCTTGGCCCAGTCTGCCTATAAGGCTGGTCCTGAGCCCCAGCCTTTGCACTGGGATGACCCCTCTTGGGCAGAGGGTTTTGCTTGGGTGTCCTGTGAGGCCCCCCCTGTGGGCGGAGCCTCCTGTGGGCTGTGGCTGAGCCAGACCCCCAGGCTGGGGAAGCAGGGCACTGCAGGGCAAGGAGGGTCCCTGAGCCAGGGTCTCCCTGTGCCTTCTTACCCCGTCATTCAACGTCTGGAGAAGCCAGCCTAAGGAGGAATCCTGCACGCAAAGACCTTCCTTGTCCTGATGGGAGGAACAGAGGTGCTCAGGGCCCCCTGGGCTGCCCTAAAAACCTCCCTCTTGCAGGGCCTCTGAAGACCCTTCCCCTAGTGCAGAACACTGGGCGGTGTCCAGGGCTCCCCCCAACACCGGCCCCTTCCCACACTCCCGGTGGACACACTGCCCTTTGCCCTGCTCTGCGGGAGCTGGGCCCCCATCCCTGTGCCTCTGTCTCCTCCAGGGCAGGAAAGGAATCCAACTCCCAGCCCATGGAGAACCCGACGTCCCAGGTCAGGCCCTGGCTGGACTCATCCAGTCACCAGCCCCACCAGGGGCTCCAGTCCCCGTTCCTCCAGCGCCACGGGAGGCAGAGTCTCTGGGGAAGAGCCCAAGCTTGCTCACCAGACGCCATAAACTCACCAGATGCCACCTGGTCTTGTGTTGTGACGTGGGTACCACATGCTTCTGATGGTCTTGGAGGCCCTGGACTGTCCCGCCATTTGGGCTGTGGAATCCTGAGAAGCCCCCAGCCCATCAAGAAATCAGAGCCTTCCCCCAAGATGTGGAGCCATCAGCAGGAAGAGCTGGGCAGCTGGAGAGGCCCCCAAACCTCAAGGCCTTTCACCCTCCCATCTGGTGACCCACCATGCAGCCTTTGCCCTGGGGAGGTGGGGCAGGAACATCCCCTGGAGCCTGGCTGGAGGTTCCCCTGGACGCCTCCTGGACCAGGGTGCAAAAAGGGCAAGCATGACTTGAGGCCACCACATGGCTGCCAGAGCAGGGTGGGTGCTGTGCTCTTGGTCGTCTCCTGGAAGTGAGGTCGGGCCAGGGGACACGGGTTGGGGAGATGCTGCCACCTGGGCTTGGTCGGCCCATTCATGGGCACCAAGGGCAGCAGGACTCTCAGGGATTGGAGAGTCAGCTACACAATCAGATCCAGAGGGCGTGGCAGCAGGACACAGAGGGTGGCCACGGGGAGGATGAGATGCCCTCCGCTGACGGGGATGAAAAGTGTCTGACTTGGGCTTTGGGGTCAGCCGCGGACCCCTGTGGGACCCTCAGCAGAGACATCCTAAAGACTCCCAAGGAGCTGGCCAAGGAAGGTGCCTTGGCTGAAAGCTGAGATCATCTGGCCAGGGTGGCCATCCCTGGGTCTGACTGCATGAGGTCCCTTGGGCACCTGTTCACCTACCCTGCAGGGAGTGCCTCTCCCTGGCCAGCAGCTGCACCAGTGCCCAGAATGCATCCTCCTCAGGCAGATAAAGGAGGAACAAGGCCGCGATGTGGCTCAGGTCCCTGCAGTAGCCCACCTCCTGCAAGAGCCAGAGTCACCGTGAAAGGACATCACCTGGAGGACTGAGGTCACCTGGGAGGACTCATGTCATTGGAGAGGGCAGAGGTGACTGGAGAGGCTTCCTCTGAAGAAGAGGCTTCCTCAGGATGCAAATTCATTTCATGACAAGAGCCAAGTCCATCAGGCACTTCAGCACCTTGTCCAAACTGTCTCCTGATGGCACCATCCCGCATGCGACCCTGCCAAGCTCCTGGGCTTTGGGGCAGCCCCAGGAGGAGGGCATCATTTCTGGTTCTGAGAAGTGGTGGTCAGACCCTGGTGACACCAGGATTCCAGGCCTGTCTCCTTTGTGTCTCAGCTTGACCCCTTGAGACCACCCCCTTGCTTGGAGGTTTATGCCAGCAGTGAGCTGGAGTCCTACCTCCTATATCCTGGTGGCTCACAAATACTAACTTTAAAAGAAGCAGCGACACCCCCACCAGACACCCACTCCTGTGAACAGGGAAATACTGCCCGGGAACGTCACTGCGGGGAATACTCACCGGGTTATACTCCGAATATGCCAAGAGGATGTAGAATAGTTCCCGCTGCCTAGGAAACAGAGAAATGAGGCTTTTGTTTGTTTTGTGCAGATGCCGTTAGTTTCACTTTGTCTACGAAGCCTAACAACAAAGCCCATTTCAGGTTCAGATGATTCACCAGATAAGCAGTGAGCTCTTCAGGGCCTTTGACTTTGAGGAAATGTTTCAGTAAAATCCACATCTGTGACATGCAGATAGCCCAGTTGTACAGTGACTTGCCTGATCCTTTTCACTCTGAATGATTTTTTTTATTTTCAGTTTGCACACACGCCAGTTCAGCCTTTGGGTGTACAGTTCCTCCACGGTTGTAAACCAATGGGCAGAGTCTCCTGGTGACCGCTCCAGCCCCTCCTGAAGCGAATCCTTCACCTTCCAAGTCTCCAGGGTGGCCCCTATGCACCTGGCCTGTCCCTGATCCGTCAGCCCCTGACCACCCAGACTGCTTCTCAATCCCTATGGTTTGGCCTTTTCCAGAATGACCCAGGAATGGGAATCCTACGTGGTAGCTTATTGGGTCTGGCTTCTTTCCCTCAGCAAAATGCATCTAGGATCCACCCACGTTCATGCGGGCAACACTGGCTCATTCCCTTTTCTCACTGTGGCTTCCGTTTGAAGGGAGGACCATCCTTGCTCTCCCCATTCCCATGTTGAAGACTGTCCCTGAAGGCTCCTTGTGTGAGTGACGATGAATCAAGCAGTGGACGTGGCATGCAGGTTTCATGTGGACATCAGTTTTCAAATCAGTGGGTTCAATATTTGTGATACTTTGGGGACACGTGGTTGAAGTGCATTGAGCTTTGTGAGTCACTGCCCAACTGGCTGCTAAAGTGGCTGTGCCATGTCATGTTCCCAGCAGACCAGGATGACAGTTTCCGGGACCCCAATTACCCCAGCATTTGTTGCTGTCAGTGTTGCCTGGAGAGGCTCATGGGCCCTCCATCTTGCCACCCTCCTGTGAGTCCTACCATGGGTCCCCGTGGGTCAGGGAGAGCACCTTTCACCATTGTGCATGATTTTGTTTGCTGCCTTCTGTCTCCTCAGGATCCTCCTGGGTTCTGGCCCCACATGTTCCAGTCTGGCCCAGGGCTTGGAACCAGGTGCTCAGTTCATGGTGCCGGCTGCTCCCTGGGTCAGGGGAGGTCTTGGCAGCTCTGTCATCCCTCCTGGGTGACCCTGGCCTCTTCTCCGGGGAAGCCCCCATCCCTTTCGTTCACTCCATCTCTGTTGAGACCCTGTGGCTCCCATAGGCTTACTTGGTTCCGTATCGATCCCTGAAGAAGATGTGAGTCCTTAATGTCCTGCTCATGTCCACATCGATCTGGTGGATGTGTTCAGATGACCTCTTGCCCTTCTCCTTCATGACCTGTAGGGCAGCGCCAAGAGGAGGAAGCAGCCTCAGAACAGATGGAAGACTCCCTGCCCCAAATGGCAGTCAGCCCACAGTCAGCACTCCGGGAAGGAAGGAAAGCAGGAAGGTTTCCTTCTGCACAAAGCTGCTTTTTGGCTTGTTACTGAAGCCGGGGAGGGTCACCAGAGCCGAGTTTATCTGTGGTGACTATGTCACCGTCCGTGCCCAGGATGTGCATCTGACCATCCCACCCACACCCCAGCCTGGGCTTGATGCTCCCTCCAGCTGGAGACCTGGGCCCCTGACACGGCCTGTCCTGTTTGTCGTGCTCTGGCTGAGCGTACCTTGTATGTTCTGGGGTTTTTCGACTTGACTTCCTGTATGTTCAGCAGAACTGACCACACTTGGCCCCGGATGTTCATGGGAATGCCCTTATATACTCGATCTATGAGCTGTGGGCAGAAAACAATCTGGTGTCACAGGCCACGGGGCGACCCCATTGAGGACCAGAGCTCAAGGATTCTGGAAATGGTTGGTTTTGGCCCCATGATTCCTCGTTAGAGGTGACATTAAGCTGGGACACAGTCTCCCTTCCCAGGATTGAAAGAGTGGATGGACACTCAGAGTCAGGACTGTGATCTGAACCTTTTCCTTCCTTCGGGTCACCAGGGCATCCCTAGCCTTGAGCTCCAGGTGGTCCCAGCCCTAGATTCAGATTCCCTCCCAGCAAGGTGACGCTTGCACAAATAGGCAGGCAAACCACCGACCAGGCCTGCAGTCCTCTCGGTGAGGACAGTGTGCCACCCACCCTCTGAGAGGCTGACGGTGCCAGGTCACAGCCAAGGATGCCTGTCCCCTGTCTCTGCAGAGAGTGGTTCCCGGGGCCTCTCCCTCCACACATTACCTTTTTACTGTTCTTGTATGTCTCCCATTGTCCCAGCATTTCCATCCACTTGCTCTTTCGTGTTATCTCCCGCCGCATTTGCTGTCAAATGAGGAATGTTGGCATTAGGGGAGCTGCCAGGCTTCCCAGAGCCGCCCGTGGATGCTGGATCTTGGGCTCTGGAGCCCAGGTGGACCCAGCTGGAGGGAGCCAAGGAAGGGCAGACCCTAAGGGTTGAGAACCTTTGAGCAAATGATCACCAATGGGCTGGCTTTGGGACCCTGGGAGGTGCCATCCTCAGGCCACAGACACAGCAGTCTTAGGTCAGGTCCCAGCCTCTAGGTGGGGTCCTGACACAGGCGGGCAGCCACCCCCAAGCCACAACTGTGGTCCTCACTTTGGAATCTTATCAAGCTGCCAAACTTACAGCAACCTGGGGTCAGGTCCAGCAGGGAGTGCTGCCCCTCCCAGGGACATCGTGTTGCCCTTACCCACCACCGCCCAGGCCAGCTGCCTCCTCTGCCTCACTGACCACCCGCCCAGTCCCCACATCCCTGGTTCAGCCCCTCCCCATGCATCAGGCTCTTACCTTCGCCTCCCGAGCAGTGGCAGGAGGCAGCTCTGTCTCACTGTAAGACAACCCAGGCAGAACTGAGGACCTGCACAGGGCCTGGAGCTCCCCGAGACTGGGAACCAACCCCCAGAAAGGACAGGCTCTGTCCCTATCTAGCTCAGGGCTCAGTCCAGGAAAAGACACTGGGAAGGGAGGACAAGGGCCTTCCTGTGGGGATGACTCCCAGTAGGGGCAAGACCTGGGAGAAGAAGGAGTGTGGGGCCAGCCTGGTTGGGGTTACTGGGGCCCCTGGTGTGGGGGGTGGTCAGGCTGCACAATAAGGCTGCCCGTCCTGTACTGGAGGTGGTGCTTTCTGCTGGATCTGAGGAAGGTCAGCCCTGAGACTAGATGGGGGCCGCCCAGGGTGGGTGACCGGGCCCTCACAGGAGTCCCTCAGGGAGTGACCACATCACCCCACTACGGTCTAGGGAGCCTGCCCTGAGACCTGCCCAGTGCACCCTGGGATCCCACTTGACAGCCCCAAGACCCTTGCAGGGTCTGACCTCCCAGTGTCCACCTGCCTCTCCCTGCATGTGAACCACACACCCTGCGTTTCAGAAGTGGCACAACTCATAAGCTCACTCCCACTCTACTTCCCCTGGATCCTGTCTCTCCATCCTACGATCCCTGACAGATGGGCTCCTGGCTAGGCTCCTTTTACCTGGCCCCAGATCCCTTACCAGCACCAGATCCAGGGTCTTTAGCCACAAGCCCTGCTGCCTCCCTGGCTTCACCATGAGATGCCCAGAACGGGCACTGCCCGTCTTCTCCCCCATTCCCTAGGGCCACTGCCCCCACTGTCCTCATGCCTTTCCCCCTTCCCCATGGGGACGATGAGGGCTGTAGCTCTAGGGAAATTGGGGGAGGACAGGGGCAGGTGGGCCCTCAGAGACCTGCTGGACAACAGCCCCAAGGTTCAGCCAGGCGTCCCCTCACCCTCTGGCCACAACACTTGGATCTCACTGGGTTGTCTCCAGGTAGACATGGCCAGACACTCAGGCTGCCCCCTCCTCTTATGCTAACTTGTGGACAGAACTGCTGAGAGTCCAGGGGCCTGACCTAGCCCAGTCTCCATTCCCACCTGCTCCCTAGATGGGCCCCGCACCTCTGGCCTAACAGCAACCTCGGGCTGGACCTGCAGGGGAGCCAGGGAGGAATTCTGACCCTGGAAAGGAGGTTGACGCGACCTGGCAGGACATGTCCTACCTCAGAAAGGCCTTCCTAAAAGCAGACCCGTCCCTGAGCTGAGACAGGTGCTTTAGGGGTGAGGGGAGCACAGAGGACTCACTGCAGAATTCCAAAGTGATCAATGTTGTTGTAGATTTCAACAGGCTCAGGCCCCATGTCCTCGGGCAGCCCAGCTCGGTGTCCCTGTAACCCAGAGGGAGGCTTGGTGAGGGGTCCAAGGTAAAGGGTGTAAGGGCCTGGGGGTAGTGGCCACCCGTCCCCACCCTGTGCTCCTAGTGAGCCCAGGACCCTTTGACCAGGGTGCACTGGAACAGGCCTCCCTCCAAGAAGCAGACCGACCTGTACCTTCTCATAGTTCATAATGATGTCCTCTCGCTCCTGTGCCCACAAACTGTCCACGTCCTCTACCATGTCCATCCTGTGAGACAAAATTGTCTAAAGGTTACATTGTACCCGAGAGCTTCAGAGAAAACCTGAATTGCTCCCGCCGGGCTCCCAGATGCTGGCTGGTTGTATAACCTTCATTCCACCACCGCCCCCAGGTAAAAAGGGGCCAGACCCCATGGCCCACACCTCCATGGGTCTCTGGAGTCTGAAGCTCCAAGCAGGGGATGGCATCTTCCCAAGGACTCGAGAAGAGTGGGACCTGGACAGAGAATCCCGTTGTCCCCAAATGCCATGAAATGCTCACACACCTGCCCTGGCAGGTTGAATGGTGTCCACCTGCCAAGGGTAAAGGGCCCATCGTGGGCTATTCCAGGGATGTGGATGTGAACTGGGATCAGGCACCAGAGGTCTCTGTACAATCGGCCTCCTGGGATGCTCAGGACCACAGAGATGCCCAGTTTCCTGCGGAGAACAAGATCTCTCCTGACTGCTCCGTTCTATCCCGCTCATCACTTGGGCTACCGTGGCCCTTCAGTCTAACCAGTGAGGCTGCTTTAGGAATAATGCCGTCTGAGCAGGAGTGTGTTTGGTTTTGGGGATGAAAATGATCTACTGTCTCTAAAGCAGCCTCTGTGCTCGTGGAAATCACGGCTCTCGGGGAGGGACTGTGGACTCCACCATTCTGAGCTGTCCCTACAGGAGGGGGCTTCATTTTCCTGGGCCACTGAGGAAGAACAGTGGGTCCTTGGTCCTGGAGAACATCTAGATGGACTGTCCCTCCTGGGAACACTCGGGGCAAAAGGCGAGCGAGGCCTCGAGAGGACCAGACAGAACAAGAAATACTCGGGGACAATCCCCAGAGCCCGGACCCCTTTGAACAGAAGGGAAGATAGTCTCCCTGCAGCCAGCCCTCCAGGGCCCCTTCATTTTCCACAACTGCCCAAGGGCAGAAGTCTCCCCATGCCACTCCCAGACAAGGGACCGTGTGGGTCCAGTGGGTCCCACAGCGAACATCAGGACCCAGCTTAGGCCCCAGATGTGTTCAGAGGACCCTCCCCTCCTTCCCACCCACAGTGGATCCATCCCAGCGTCTCTGCCAGGACCACGCTCTGCCCCATCGGGATCGGAAACCTGGGCAGATTTGGGATCTAGGGCAGGGAGGTCACAGGGTTCAGGCCTGAATTCCAGCACAGCGCACGGCAGGGCTGAGAGCAAAACCCAGCGTCCTGTCTAAATTCCCAAGCCGGTTACCGCCTCTCTGACCCCAGACGTCTCCCCTGTTGAATGGGTACACTAGAGAATAGCACCGACTCCATAAAACCCCCATGAGGACAAAAGAGAAAATCGTCTACACGGGCAGTGTAGAACGGGCTCCCAGTGAGTGCTTAGGAATGACCCTCCTCGGTAGCTGCCCAGAGGCCAACACCACCCACAGCATAGCCACTGTCCCCAAGTCAGCCTGGAGGGAAGAGAGCAGGTCACACTCACCTGATTCTGATGAATCAGCTGGCCTGCGTTATGCCTCTCAGGTAGAAAACCTCTGAGTCCACAAAACCGTTCCCAGATACCACTGTGCGTGTGTAGCTGATACCACTGTGCGTGGGTAACTGCCGTAGAACACAGAGGCAGGCCGGAGAGCGGATTGGTGCTAAGCACCAGTGACATTCTGAGGTCATGGCACGCATCACAGTGGGGCCTTGCCCGGCTCAGCAGGGCCCAGAGTCAGGGTCCTCCGCTGCCTGAGGCGGCCACATGCCTGCCTGCAATGTGTTTGCACACGTGCCTGCACACATGTATATGGGTAAATAGGTCTGTGCACCCATGTGTTGCTTCTCTGGCCAGGCCTGGCTTCCCCACTCATGTGTGCACCCACTTCCTCACCACTGTCACCCCCGAGGCCCAGGACCAACATCACACCGCCGCGACCTCAGCTGTCCCCGCCCAGGGTGGTCTGGGATACACATAGGGGTGGAGGAAAGTGACTGCTGCTGTTGAATCTCAGAACACAAATGCTAATACTATTACCTAATGGTCTTTTTTAGTGTCTCTAATGGTATCTCTTTTTTCATTTCTGATATTTTAACTGGGTATTTCTCTCCCTGACCCTTGGATATTTTAGCTAGAGGATCCTGTGGGGAAAGTGCTGGGCACACAGTAGGGGCTCATTCTTTCAGACATGTTATCTAAAACCACCCAGGGCCTAGGGGATATCAAATTCCAGGCTCCAGAAAGAGCTTGGGATAAAATGAACCTTCAAGAGGTGGGCTTTGACCTGGGCTGAGTCTGCCTGTGCCATCTAAACAGAGTCTCAAGTCCTGAGACAGGGCGTCCAGATGCCCCAATGCAGGGCCCCCATGATTGACACCTGCTCCCCTGTACTCATTAGCAGCCTCACCCACCCTGCTCTCAAAGCACACTTGGCCCTCCTATCCGGGAGCTCTGCATCTGTGGATTCAGCAACAGCAGATGGAAAATATTTAGAAAATAAACTGGATGGTTATGTCTCTACTGAACATGTGCAGACTTTGTTCTTGTCATCATTCCCTAAAGAATACAGTATCCCAACCATTTATGTAGCATCTGCATTGTGTTACATATCATAAATAATCTAGTAATGGTCTAATGTCTATGGGAGGATGTGCATAGCTTATATGTAAATACTAGGCCATGTTATGTCAGAGACTTGAGCATCCATGGATTTTGGCATCCCTGGGGACCCTAGAACTAATCCTCCATGGATACCAAGCAATGACTGTATAAACTCACTCAGGAAAGCTTCTCATTGGAGGAAGGGCCCAGTTCAGGACAGACAGGGATATACTCCCTGGACGACTGTCCATTCATCCATTGTTCCCCCCCACCCCCATTCCCCATCTAGGACTGTCCCAATGACAGCCCTAGCAAGAGGAGACAAGAAAAAAGACCAGTTCACATTGTCCAGCTTTGAGGTCTTGGGAGAAGTTGCACCAGTGTGAGAATAGGGGGTCAGTTTCCTCCAGGATCCAAAGAGCATATCAGGCCCCCTCGGGGTGAGGAAAGGAGCGCGGCCTCTCCAGCGGCCACACGGGCTACACTAGGATGGGGCTGGGGCTTGCCATGTGGATCACTTGGGAAAAGAAAGACCAGGGAGCAGAGGAGGAGCACGGGGGCAGCCAGTGCCTAAGGAGAAGGTACCTCAGGAAAGGTCTGTACTGGTTTGTTTTCACACTGCCATAAAGAAATACCTGAGATTGGGTAATTTATAAAGGAAACAGGATTAATTGACTCATAGTTCAGGAAACTTCAATCTTGGGGGAAGGAGAAGGGGAAACGGGCACCTTCTTCACAAGGCGGCAGGAGGGAGTGAGTGGAGAACGAGGAAGTGCCACACTTTAAAACCATCAGCTCTCCTGAGAACTCTCTCACTATCAGGGAAGCAGCACGGGGGAAACTGTCCCCAAATCCTATCCCCTCCCCCCAGGTTCCTCCCTTGCCACAAGAGGATTACAATTCCAGATGAGGTTTGGGTGGGGACACAGAGCCAGACCTGTGAGGGTCTCGGTCTATCTTGCGACTCCCCAGGGCTAAATCTGAGTACAGACCTGCAGGTCCTGCATGGCAGCACACGAGGGCTCTGCCAGTGCGCCCCCATCAGCTGCTTCCTGGGGATGGTGGCTGCTTCCTCCAGAGAAGGGTGGATTTGCTGCCCTGCTGCCCCTGCAGGGCCTTGTGAAGCCACGGCCAAGTCCTCCAAGGGTCAGGGTAGCAAACTGGGCTTCTTTTTTTTTTTTTTTTTTTTGAGACAGAGTCTTGCTCTGTCACCTAGGCTGGAATGCAGTGTCCTGATCTCAGCTCACTGCAAACTCCGCCTCCCGGGTTTATGCCATTCTCCTGCCTCAGCCCCCTGAGTAGCTGGGACTACAGACGCCTGCCACCTCGCCCGGCTAGTTTTTTGTATTTTTTAGTAGAGGCGGGGTTTCACCGTGTTAGCCAGGATGGTCTCGATCTCTTGACCTCGTGATCTGCCCACCTCGGCCTCCCAAAGTGCTGGGATTACAGGCTTGAGCCACCGCGCCCCGGCAAACTGGGCTTCTTGTCCTTGCTGCTTGAGTGACAACCCTGGGGTCATCCTTAGGCCCCATCACTGCCCCGCTTCTAAATGGAAAACATTTTGGCAAATCTTCCTGGCAGAGGCCGGGGGCTCATCCCTGTCACCTGTTGTAGCTTGGGAAAGCCGGGTTAAGACATCTGGGCAAGCAGACAGTAGAGGGGCCCCCGGAAGGGTGGGTGGAGGGCGCTGGCCTTTGGACTTGCCTGGACCAGGGTGGGAAGGAGGAAGTTTACCAGGAAGTAGAGCTCTCAGGGCTGTGGTTAGGAGGAGGTGGTAATGCTGGTGGGGGCATGGGGATGTGGCTGGTTTGGGGTGGAGGATCAGTGACAGCCAAGGTTTGTCAGCCTGCAGCGGGGTGACTGACTCATGGACTCGGGCCTGAGGAGCCCATTGGTTGCCCTTAGTTCTTGGATCCTCGGAGACTTCTGGAGCCTGGATCTGGACAGCCTAGGGGTGGAGGTGGTGAGAGGCAGGGGTAGGGGTGGGATGGGAGGCCTTGCATGACAAGGTGCGGGACAGGAAGTCGGCCAGGGACTGGTGTGCAGTGGCTGCTCCCATCCCCATTCCCACCCCAAAACCCACCCCTACCCCCACCCTGGTGCAGGGTCTCTCCTGGGCAGGTGTCCTCTGGCCTCAGCAGATCCCAAGCTAGAAGCGGGCAGCCACACAGGGATGTCACTTGTGCCAGCTTTGTCCTGCAGTTTCTGCTTCCTGGAGTGTGGGACGCCCACCCAGGAGAGCACGGGCACACCCCACACCTCTCATTTTGAGGGTGCTGGGAGGTGGGGGACCGAGGTCCTGCAACCCTGGGCTTGTGCCATGATAATTAGCCTAGGAGTCCCGTGTCCGCCCATCCACGTGGATCCCAAGAAGCATGAACAGTGGCATGCAGTGAGATGAGGAGGGAGAGAGAAGTGGAAAAGAAGGAGAGAGAAAGAAAGATGGGGAGAAGGGAGTGAGACAGAGGAAGAGAGATGGCGAGAGAGACAGAGGAGGCTAAAGGATAAGGAGCGAGAGAGATGAGAGAGACACAAAACACAAAGAGACAGAGAGAAACGTGCATGAGTAGGAGGTCGAGTTACTCTTGATGCCAGTTCCCAGTGAAAACTGTAGGCCACCATCACCTAACCACACATGCAATAAATCTTCTGCCTGCTGGAGCCCTGAGTACCCCTTCTCGTGGAGCATAAAACCTTTGACTGCAGCCCTTCCTCACTGCAATTTTGTTGTGTCTTCCAGTGAACCCTGATGCCTTGTCTATTGCCTTCCTGGACTCAAGGATCCACCAAAAACTGATGCCTCTTTTGGGGAGAATTTGAGTGCCTTCAACTCACTAGGCCCCCCAGGAAGCTTGCGCACTTGGCTGGGGCCCTAAGCAGCTGGGTACATGCTGGGGCTCTGCTTCTCTCTTTCAGTAAGAAGGAGAACTAAGAAAGAGACTAAAGCATGGTCTGTGGAGAAGGCACTTGTGCAAACACCAGGAGAACGAGGGGTGTGAATTGTCTTCGTTTCTCCTAAAAGCATGCATTCCTGGCTGGGCGCAGTGGCTCACGCCTGTAATCCCAGCACTTTAGAAGGCCAAGGTGGGCAGATCACTTGTGATCAGGAGTTCGAGACAAGACTGTCCAACAGGGAGAAACCCAATCTCTACTAAAACTACAAAATTAGCCGGGCATGGTGGTGCATGCCTGTAATCCCAGCTACTCAGGAGGCTGAGGCAGGAGAATTGCTTGAACCCAGGAGGTGGAGGTTGTCGAATTTGCGCCATTGCACTCCAGCCTGGGCAACAAGAGCGAAACTCCATCTCAAAAATAACAAAAAACAAAAACACATTTCTTCCCAGGCCACCCTAGTGAGGGCGTGAAGCACAGCGTGCGTGTGTGTGGGTGTCCAGGTTTATGCATGTGTATGTGTGTGCATGTGTGTGTGTGTGTGTGTGCGTGTGTGTGGGTGTGTGTTGCAGGGCTTTACAGTGGACAGGATGTGGAAGGGCAGCTGCAGCTCCAAGCTGCAAGTCTCTCTGACAGAATGCTGAACGTTCCTCGGACCACAGCAAGAGAGTGTGTTCATTTGCACCCATTTTTATTAGCATTTACAAGTCCGTTACATTTCTTGTGTGCTTTATTTCCATTATTATTTCACTGTAATATATAATGAAATAATTACACAACTCAC